TTTTAACCCCCCCCCCCCACGCAGAAGCCTAGTTCCCATCGCCACGAAGGCCTCTTTGTCACGTTGTACACGTGTCCATCTGTTATTCGTCGACAGCTTTTCTCTTTCTGGCATGGTGGGGCGTTTGCTTTGGTCCGACTTTGCAGATGTGGTCGGACAAAGATAACGTATTGGAGTTTATTTGAATATGATATTATACTACGTAACGACATTAATTTATGATAGAAGTTGTTTAAAGCGCTCTCCGGTGTCTCCGCATTCCAAATATACACGTATATGTATGTATATATTCTTATCTAAATTAACCACCACACTAGTTTGGCCACGTCAAACACTCCTATGTTTTATATATTATTTATTCTCCCATAATTGCCAAATTATTTATAAATTATAAACAAAAATAGAATTGCTATATTATTCGTGGACATAGTCGACGGCAGTTGAGGCCACTTCTTTCTCGTGGAGAGAGAGATAGGGAGGGGTAGTTTCGTCAAATCACTAAAATCAACGGTGCAGGAGGGAAGCTTCACGCCAAGTCGCGAGTCGACTCTTTGTTAAGGAATAAGGATATTATTGTAATTCTATATCGAATTCTCACACGGCAATTTGGTGGGCGCATATATAAAGGGCCCTCCTTCACCTCCGTCTTCGCGAACGCTTCATCATATTACCAAATCATAGTCGATTCTCAAATTAGGGCTCTCTCTCTCTCCCGCCGATTTCTGACGTTTCGATTCCAGTGTTGCGGTTCTCTGGGTCCAGGTGTGTTTCTTACCATTCCAGAACATTCCAGATTTGTTTTTTTTTCTTGTTCTCGTCGGCGATCCTCTCGTTTTGTTGGCTAATACTATCGTTTATTGATCGATGGATTTGGCCCTTCAGGTTTCGTTTTGTGATTTGGAGATCAGGGGTTCCTGGTAGAAGATATTGTTAACTCCGGGTCAAATTTCATCCATATATCCATGTAAGTCTCCACTGATGAATCCTTTGTTGTTCGGTTCCGATTTATAACCAATTACCTTCGTAGGATGTGATCAGATTCAGAAGTTATGTTATTGATCAGTGTCTTTATTAGTTATGGTTTGATCCTTCGATACCTTCGTTACCTAGTATTTTGATCATAAGTTTAGGGTCGATGGACGAACGTTCTGTTTTTTTTTTTTACGGTTTTTGTAGATTTTTGTTTTCATTAGATGTTATAGAGAGAAAAAAAATGGGTTGGTTTTTGTAGAGCTAATATGGCCTGATACGTTCTTGTTTAATATTCTTATTATTATCACTTGTGATAAATGTGCAAGGCAATGTGAATATATGTGCATCATCTGGTTTTAGATAGTTATGATACGATCTTTGGTATCTGAAGTTGGATAATATTGACTTTGTGGAGGCTTATCTATTTTGTTGAAATCTTTGTAATTCTGTTGTTTTAGTTTGCAGAAGAGCGTGAATGAGAATATGATGGAATCAAAAGGTGGCAAAAAGAAGTCTAGTAGTAGTAAAACCTTATTCTACGAAGCTCCCCTCGGTTACAGCATTGAAGACGTTCGCCCGCACGGAGGGATCAAGAAATTCAGATCTGCTGCTTACTCAAACGTGATTTTTCTATCCAAAAGTTCTGATCTTTTGGTTTTCTTCAACTTCGTGTCCACTGGAATCTAATCAGTAATCTTTTTGTTGGCTTGGTTGCAGTGTGCGAAGAGACCATCCTGAGACGTCTTGACCTCTCCAACATAGTCTTCGAATAGCGATCTTTTTAAGTTATAGGTTCCGTTTGCCAAACTCTGTGTCTGCTGATTCCCCCAATCCCATCGTTCTCTCCTCCAAGAAGTCTCTTCCTTTACAAAAAGGCGAGATGGCCTTGCCCGTTTCTGCGATCGGATTTGAAGGCTACGAGAAGCGGCTCGAGATATCCTTCTTCGAGCCCAGCTTGTTCCTAGATCCCAAAGGAATGGGATTTCGCGCTCTGGCCAAGTCCCAGTTGGATGAGATACTCCAACCTGCTGAATGCACGATCGTTTCGTCTCTTTCGAACGATCAAGTTGACTCGTACGTCCTCTCAGAGTCCAGCCTCTTTGTCTACCCTTACAAAGTTATCATCAAGACGTGCGGAACCACAAAGCTGCTCTTTTCCATCCCGCCCCTCCTCGAGCTGGCCGGTGAGCTCTCTCTAGTGGTAAAGTCTGTGAGGTACACACGTGGCAGCTTCATATGTCCAGGCGCTCAGCCCTTCCCTCACCGCAGCTTCTCTGAAGAAGTTGCAGTTCTTGATGCACATTTTGCCAAGCTCGGATTGAGCAGCTCAGCCTACGTGATGGGTAATGATGGTGCTGATGAAACAAGGAAATGGCATGTCTACGCTGCTTCTGCAAAGGGCACGAGCCGATCTGATTACAACAACGTGTATACACTGGAGATGTGCATGACCGGTCTGGACAGAAAGAAGGCGGCCGTGTTCTACAAGACCGAGTCGAGCTCGGCGCTGTCAATGACCGAAGAATCCGGAATCAGAAAGATCCTACCGAACTCTGCTATATGCGATTTTGAGTTCGAGCCCTGCGGATATTCGATGAACAGTATCGAGGGGGAAGCGATCTCAACGATCCATGTGACCCCGGAAGATGGATTCAGCTACGCAAGCTTCGAGGCAGTGGGGTACGATTTCAAGGCGATGGATGTGAGTGGAATGGTGAGAAGGGTTATTGATTGCTTCGAGCCCAAGCAATTCTCGGTGGCAATACACGCAGACACAGTGGAAGAAGAGGACATGATGATGATGATGATAACAGGTATAGAGGAGGATGGGGACTATGGTTGCAGGGAGAGGACGGTGCAGAAGCTAGGGGAAGAAGAAAGAGGAGCAGTGTTGTATTATGGGTTCGATAGGACGAATGGGTCTCCCAGATCCATCCTCAAGTGCGGCTGGAGCAGCGAGGACGAGAAGGACATGTGAGTGAAAGAGAGAGACTATATATATAATTATTATATTATTGTCTGAATAAGTCTGCTATGTATTTGCGGACGTAAGAGTTTGAGTTGCATGCATCATGGTGATGGGTGGGTTCATGCCCCCCTTTGCCTGTTTCTGATTATGTTCTCATCTACTTTGGCTATCTGCACTTTGATTAATCACATTATTGTTATTATTATTGATTTCATGCTTAATTCTGAAAAAATCTCGAAAAATATACAAAATCGGTACATAAAAACATGATTATGAAATTCGCTTCAGTTTTTTCTTATATAAATATCAAATATTTCAAAGTTTTCATAATATTTTCCATTGATCGTTAATGTCAACTGTTGATACGTGAATTAGTCATGACAAATCGTACAACTTTTCAATACATATATTTACCAAATCACACACACACACACACACATATATATATATATATATAACATTAGTTTCGACATTATGATCTGTGAGAGAGTTTTTGAATCCAATTTGGAAGGGTATTGTTTTTTTTCTTCCATGAATGAATGGACCCTCCTCCTCCTGTTACTCTTTGCACATGTTCATATTCGTTTTGGGTATTTGCCATTGTTACATGATATGTTTTGGTCATACAATCAAATGTATCTGAATTAAATTTAATTTTAAAAACAGTCGGATAATTAACTCCTTTAACCCAATCTTGCTTACGCATCCTTGAATTGACTCATTTCGTGTTTACATTTTGGATACATATATATATATATATATATATATAAGATTACAAGAAATAATGGTAAAATTTTATCTTGTACGGAATGGATAGGGTAAGCGAATTTCAAAAGTTCTTGTCCATATCTTGAGAGATGTTACAAACTTTGATAAGAATAAGAAATTAAATCTAAGGGTTCAAATTTTGAATTTGATTGGTAAAAGAGTTAAAAGATAAGACAAAATTATAAAATAAAAGATTAGCAAGAAGATCCATCAAATGATGGATTTCACTGTCCCAAGTGATGCCTACATTTGCATGCACACTCTGATCGCAATCATATCCCTTGGGCCCAACCCTCTACTGGGCCCCACATAAATGTTCTCCATCTTACTGGGCCCACCGATGTTTTTTGATTCGACCCAATAACCGGTCCGGTTATCTCGGTTCAACCGGTCCTCCCTCGAGCAAGTGGTGCATGGCGGTGATTGACAACGATGACGTTGACGTTGCAGGCATCTTTTATATATATATATATATAATAATATGATAAAAACGGAAACCATGTCGCGATAGGTCCAATAATTATGTTTGATGTTTTACTGTTAAACCCTTTCTAATCAACTGGTTAAATCTGTTGATTGATCAGAAATCTGTAGTTTATATTACACAAAAATTTAGATAAAACCCTATTTTTGTATATGAATTCTTGTAATACTATTTCCATAATATATTGTATATATTTTAAACTACAGTAATATACACACATATATATATATATATATATATATATATATATGATGCAATAGATTGCGAGGATGGATTTCATGGTTTCCCCCATATGAATCATGATGTACAAGGATGGTGATGGTGATATTGACGATGACATGCACATGCATGAGCATTGTACGACCACCATACAAACCCCTCTCTAGATTCTCGTCGCAGCTTTTCCCCACCCATTTTTTTTTTAATTTATGTCCACTCCTTTGAACAAACAAAAATACCCACTTCATGAAAACAACTATACAATCGATATGTATGCGTACGTACATGTCATACACCATGCATTCTTGTGAAAAATCTCCCCACCATCCATCTTATCTTAATGTTTGGACTTTGATATGATATCTTTCACATATGCCAACATGTGCCACCATCTCTAGTTGGTCCATGCTTTTGATGTTAGGTGATATTTACTATTGTTATCTCCTCCTTTCTTTCTTTTTTTTATGTTATTTTGTTTTTCTTACATATATATATATAAGAAGTATGAAATAAAAATGATTACAAATTATCCAACAGTTAGTGGTCCAGTTGTTGAGAGTTGACAAAGTCATTGTCGAGGTCATGGGTTCGATTCCACTAGTGGAGAGAGATGTAATTTCTGGATCAAAATGGTCTATATACAAAGGCTGGTCCGAGCCTAGGGTGGATGTAGTCGGATCGAAGGCCCGGAGAACCATCCTGGTTATAAAAAAAAATGATTACAAAATTTCATTAGTTTCAATAAATTAATTTGTTATTATTTCCTAATATCAATTTTTTTTTATCATTTAACATCATCTAATGATAGTGATGTTAAGTAAATATATATATCATTTATCTCAACATTGTTTTCCTCATCTAATCATTTGGCATGAGATTAACCACTATGGATGAGACTAGTCCAACCAAACATCACCATATCAACCCCAAAAAACAAATTCTGACTAAGCTTTCAATTCAGAAACTGTAGAAAATATTATGAAAATAATTAGAAAAAACAACCATAAAATCTAAGTAATTCTACACCGGCAAAAAATAAAAAATAAGTGAAATAAAATATATCATAAAAAAATAAACAATTTCACGTTACCTAAAAGGATTCGGCATTAGATACCTTTAGACGCTATCTCATTTATATAAAAAAAAAAGAATAGTAAAATTGTTGAAAATGAAACATGTGAATTATTGTTATTTTCCACCACCGCAACGCAACCACTGAGAAATGGACAACCTTTTAAATCAATCAATTTAAAGAGCAAAAATTTACTATATGCGTGTTTCTAGCTTTCATGATCTAGAAGTGAGAAAATTTATATATATATATATATATATATGAGTGTATCTGCAATATAGAATTTTAGCATCAAATCTCTTATAATTTCGGAAAAAAAAATATTTTGTTAAAACTAATTAAACTAGTCTTCCGGATACTATGAACCATATATACACAAATATTTTAACAAGAAAAAAATAATTTTTTAATAGAAAATTATTTTCAGATATTTTTTAGCCTATTTTAATGTTTTAGAAAAAAATATTAGTTTAATGGTGAAATATATATTTGATTAGAGATCTTTAAAAATGGTTAGACTGTTGAAATTTGTAGAAATACAAAGACTTGAATATAATTTAAAATATGTAATCACTTTTTTTGAAAAAAAAACAAATGGCAAATAGAAAATAGAATTATTTGATAAATCAAAAGTATATCGATCATTTTAAAAGAAAGAGGCACCTTGGTCATTTTTGTTCCAATCAAATCAACCACATAAATAATCTTTGTATGAGACAAGAGCCAAAATTTCAAAGATAGAGAGATTTTGATTTAGAACGAGAGATTTTGAACATGAAAAAAGAACAAAAAGGACCATAATTTCAAAGATGTTACAAAATGACAAAAACAACGGAGCCAAGTAAAGTTTGATCCCATTTATGAATTACACCAAAAAGAAAAAAAAAGATTTACTGTAAGATTTTTGAATATATGACAGATCATTCATTTATAAATTGAAAAACTTTATACTCATTTTTATATATTATAAAAAAAACATTTCTTTTTAAGCCCACTTTGCCTCCCTCTCTCTCCAAGTTCCTCACCTTCATTCATTGATTGATTCAAAAACTGCTGCAATGGCTTTGCGTGGAGATGAGCCAGACTTCAATCTCAGAGAATGGGATCGAAGAGCTCGAATAACCAGAGAAAACCCTAGCTCCAGAAGGTTCTCTGCCTCCTACATTCGAAGCTTCCGAGAAGATATCAGGTCTTCAAGAACATACTTTGCCATTTCTAGCACTGCCTCTTCTCCTGGCTACCCCCTTAAAGGTAGCGACTTTCATGTATATGGTTTCTGCCTCCTTGTCTGAGAGTGTTTCCATTTTGTATATGTCGATGAATTCTGACAATTTTGGGGGCTTGAATGTTTTGGGAACACAGAGGAGATTGACCCATCAACGTATTCTTTCACCAGTGCACTCAAAGGTAAATTTCTTCACTGTCTTTTACCATTTTCCACTCAAGACATGAACTTTTTCAGGTTCTTAGCCTTTTGATTATGCTCAGTCTCGAGTCAGTAACTATATATATGATCAATCACCCATGTCACCACCAGTTTGTCGAATCCATGCTATGACCCGACCCTTAGAATTAATTAGCCTGCTTTCGCTTGGAGATGAATTTTGCTTTAAAAGTTAGAACCTTTGACTATCTCTGTCATCTGAAACAGGAGAAAGAAGTTCCTTTCATGTTGTCGTTGTCTCCATCGCCATCGGCTATGATCTTAACTCTTTTTTTTTTTCTGATGAGAGATGTAATAAACCAGAAAATGGGTTTCCTGTTTCGCTTTGCTTCTCTGCAGCATTGCAAGCAAAGACAGTGTACAACAACTGGGACTGGTTAACACCGGAAGGTTTTGCTTTGAACTCGAAATGGGACGAAGCCGAGAAGTACATATGCAACCCTTTGTCCGGAGAAGTTCCAATGGAGTGTTTGTCTTCTAAAACTCTTAGTGCAAGATCTTTCAGAAACTTAACCACCATGTCTGCTCCTCTCATTTACCCTTCTCAACCTCGACCTCTCGGTCAAAACAAACCCGTTTCTACCGTTAAAGTCATCCATGAGGATCATAACACCGATCCCGTTCCGATTCGAGGTGATGAAATCTTCTAGTTATTGGTTCCAAATTGTGTTTTTGAAGAACATGCTTCGATTTTTTTCCTCAAACTTTTGGGGGTGTTTCTGAGCAGAAAACAAAGGTTTGGGGTCAAAACGGGATGTGGGTGTCCAGAGTACACCGGCGGATCCTAGCTCCGGCAGCCCAAGTCCGGCTCAGACGCCGCCGATCGTTGAGCGATCCCTGAAACGACACGTGGAAGCCGAAGATTCGCCGGTGGAATCCGCTCTCAAGTTGAAAGATCAACATGAGGAGGTATGTTTCCTTTCAATTTTAGTAATTGTGGTCATCTATTTAATTTTTTTAGAAAAAGGGTTCATATAATATTAATAATAATAATATTATTATTATTAATATTAATATCAAATGTAAAAAGAGAAACAAAGTTTCTCATTATTGTAAACATTAGATCTTGAAATTTGTAACATTTCTAACCAATATATGTAACATGCAACATAAACTTGGTAAGTTCTGAAAAATTAGTGTGTAACAACAGCATAAAATCCTGCGTTGTTTAACTTGTGCATGAAATTAGATTATTTCATAGATTAAGAAAAAGCTCGAAGACGATTCATAACATAAGCGGGGCCATGCACATACATACGTACATATATATATATATATATAGTAATATGTGTCAATCATGTAAAAAGACAATGAGGAGACATTTATTTATGTATCATCATTTGGATTCTTTCATAAATTATGAAAAAACGCACGCAACGTTTGCATTATATTATATATGGTGTGACAAAATAGGACCCATTGTCACAAAATGGTTTAATGAATTTGTTGTGACGTCCACACTTGTTAAAGTCAAATTTCAATTTTTTTTTAAGGAATCTTACTAAATCTAAACGAAATTTGTGGTTGTTGCAGGATGTAAATCTAGAGGAGGAGGAGGAGGAGAGAGAGAGCAAGGAAAAACAAGAAGAAAGAGAAGAGGAGAAGAAGGAGAGGCGAAGGGTTGGGTGCTTAGGTTGGATGAGAAAAAGGCAAAGGAAGAAACATCATTCAAAAAAATCCAACATCTTTCCCATCTTTGTTCCTCAATCTTGTCAAAGGCTGTTGAACTGCCAAAATAAATAAATAATATTATTATTATCAATAGTAATAACAATAATTGAAGAAAAAAAGAGATAATAAGTAAAGTTTTCAAGATCTCGTGGTAGATTTTCCTCCCCATTTTCCTGTCATTCTACATTTTTTTCATATAAATAAAGAAAAAAAATTGAAATGAATGAAAGATTCTCCAATTATTAAAGTGGGTAGGAAAAAGGGTGTTGTGTTTTGGGGATGGGTGGGGAATAAGACAGTGGGCAATGACTCCAGGGGCAATGAAGGCAAGCAGCTTTTCCCTTCAGGCGGATGCTTTTGTTTTCCAATATGACAAAACTGCAAGTGAATGTTAAAATAACATAAAACCCAATTTGAATGTCGTTGTATTTTATTTTTAATCTCAGCCAGTTCAGATAACAAACTAGTTCCAACTTCCAAGGAACTGAACTGAATCCGCTAAATAGTGTTAGTTACCCGTGTCCACGAGATGGAAAACATTCTGGCTCAGAAATTCAAAGTAAGATACGTTACCCTTTGTCCATTCATCCATATATATGCAAAATAAGATTTACCCCATTCAACCAACCATGGGAAAACTTTCAATCCAATTCAGCCATTTCATTAATGCTCACAGGGAAAATCATTCAACCCAAGTTTATTCAACAAATGAAATGACAATCACTGAAAATAAAGAACACACTTGAATGCAACAAAACCCACATTGACATGAAAGAAAAATACACACACACAAAAGAAACAGGAAGAACATGAACTTAGAAACAAACCAACCAAAACAAAACACATAACATGAGAGCAAAAAAAAAAATGCACATGAAAATTATGTAGTCGGGGCAATTTTAGAAGCACATAAATCCATTGACTGCAACATTCTTTTTCTTTCGTGACTCATAAAATCACAAGCAAGCTCCACCATCAAGAAAACGAGTTTCCCATAGAGAAATCGAAACTGCTTCTACAAATCCACCTTTAGCAACAAAAAAAAAAACACGCTACAGATCTGTTTATTCAAGCAAAGATATTGGGTATTTGTACGCGTGGGACCTGGTCTCACTCACATCAATGTGCCGGTGGGGCTGCTGTCTGAGCCTCCTGCCCCTCTTCTGACTCCTGCTTTGAGGCATCCTTGATCTCGTCGCCAGCCTCGTCCTGGATATATATACACAGCTCATATCTCGTCAGAACCAACACCGATTCAAAGATGATTGAATTGAGAATAGTGTATTAGATGCTGATGACTGAAGAGTTAAAGAGAGGAATGTACATTGATGTCAGAAGTCCATAGGGTGAGGTTGTCCCGGAGGAGTTGCATGATCAATGTACTGTCCTTGTATGATTCCTCTCCCAACGTGTCCAACTCAGAGATTGCCTCGTCGAAAGCCTGCAACACATGAGGAGCAAACAGAAATTGGAAAAACTACACCAAACCAACTCCACCATGAGATCCCACTAAACCAACAAGATAATACAAACATGTCTATTGGCAAACTTCAGAGATTGAGAATTCTACGGCACGAGACACAAGGGAAACCAGAAGAAGAAAGCCGATACACAAGAGGACTGTAGCAGAAAGATATGGCCATCACACTCCACAGTAGTATATCAAGCTAACCATAAAAGCACTTGCAACAACGAATGCATTTACACAGGACCATATGGCCAAAAAGCAACGCTTCTCATTATGCATAGACACAGCTTTCAAAAAACAGGGCAGTTGGAAGGTCACAAAAATCTATAACGAGAATAAAACCTTGGCATAAACAAACAACATTTAAAGCAGGAAGCAGCACAGACCTGCTTAGCCAGATTGCAAGCACGATCAGGTGAGTTGAGAATTTCATAGTAGAAGACAGAGAAGTTAAGCGCTAGCCCCAATCTGATTGGGTGAGTGGGAGCCAGTTCTGCAAGAGCAATATCCTGTATCACAAGAAAACAACATTAACCCATCTGATACTTGGAGGTCTCTATGCTAAGAACAACCAATATCAACCTGTGCGGACTTGTAGGCCAACAGAGTGTTCTCAGCGGCTTCCTTCCTCTCGGTACCAGTCTTAAACTCGGCGAGGTACCTGTGGTAATCACCCTTCATTTTGAGGTAGAAGACCTTTGACTCCGCAGATGATGCACAAGGAATGAGGTGAGTCTCAAGAAGGTTCAAAATGCCATCACATATCTTGCTGAGTTCAGCTTCGATCTTGCCTCTGTATTCCTTGATTGTCGAAACATGGTCCTCATTCCCCCTGCTTTCTTCTTTCTGTTCAATGGAAGAGATGATCCTCCACGAAGCCCTCCTCGCACCAATCACATTTTTGTAAGCAACAGACAATAGGTTCCTCTCTTCGACCGTGAGCTCCTCTGTGTCCACAGTCTTCGCTACGTTTTCCATGAACTCCACCATTTCCTCGTAACGTTCAGCTTGCTCCGCCAATTTGGCCATGTACACATTCTCTTCCCGGGTCAAATCGGCAGGCGACATCTTTGTTATACAGTTCTAGATCCTGTTTCAGCAATTTCGTCAAAGATCGAGTCATCGCCTACCGATTTCCAGAACATTTCCAAAGGAAAATAAAACATTCCAACGCTGTAAATGTCAATCTAAACACCGAAAATACAAAACAAAACAAGCATTGCAGAGGTAAAATACCTCCAGATCTACCAGGGAACAAATCAGGGCTAAAATACAACAGAATCTATGGAACAAAATCAGAAACTTTTCATCAAAAAAACAAAATCAGAAACTCCACCAGATCCCGCAATACGAATCGACAAGGATTAACAGAAGTAAAAGACAAAGAAAATTCGCAAACAATAAAACAAAAGCATCAAGGAGAGATGAGACGGAGGAAAAGCGTACCTTGAGAATTCGAATCTAGGGTTTTTGAAAATTTGAAGCGAGAAATTAGGGAAGAAGACGGGGGATTTTATATTTAAGGGAGAGAGGGAAGGTCCAATGAGAAGGCGACAAGTGTTGGGCTCTGAAGATTCCGTAGTAACTCATTTTTACCCATGCCACGCTGGATTTTGACCGTCCACGGTTTAAACTAACAACTTTAGATTATTTATTAACTACTGGGGCAAACATATAAAGAACTAAAACTCATAGGTTACTTGTAAATTATGTGATAAGAGTAGGGTTATTGTTGATAAACAAAAGTATTGGGGTCATAAAGTAAATAAGAGATATTTTAGTTTTGCCCCGTCGTTTTTCCCTTGCTATTTATTACTTCTCTCTGTTCACGACAAAGCCGAGTTTGGGGTAATCTCCGTTTGAAAGTCCTTGAACATCGCTTGATCGATTCGATCGGAGGAAGTCGTTGAAGCTCGAAGGCACATCAATGGGGTATGTGCAGCAAGCGCGTGAGAATCACGTGAAGAAGAAGGTCGAAGAAGGTAAACCCAATGTCGCTACTTCGCTGCTCTAAACCCCTAATAGACATTGATTCTAACCCTGTTTGGTTGCCTGGAAAATGAGGCGAATTCAAACTCATTCTGTGTTCTTTACTCAGTGATGATAGAAGCTGTTTCCTCCCTGTGTGGTAGAGATTAGATTTTTTTTTGTCCCGTTATTCCCTTGGTATGTAAAAACAAGTTGAAAAATTGAAAGCCCTGATTGTTTGGTTGCCGAGAAACGCCGGAAAGTGGAGGAGAATCTGAAGGAAGCTTGGGTATGAGTTTTATGGCTGGTCAAGTTAATTTCGTCTCTTCAAGAAGAAAGTAGAGCGAGTGCGTTACGATTTCCATAAACCCTTAGAAACGATATGGTCCATGAACCCTGCTGCATCTGAAAATAAAAGAAAAGTTATGATCTTTAACTGTGGAATCACTTGATCCACTTCCTATCTTCAACTGAAACCCGCCTTCAGCTGGTAAATTTGTGTGTTTGTTGAATCTAGGTAATTCGACCCAGTTGGATAGAAATGCTGAATGATTGTTACATTATGGTGGTGAATTGATCTAAGCTCGATGTAATAGGATGATCTGGTTTCTTCAAGGGGTGAATTGTTCCTTAAGCATGGATTTATTTAAAAAATTTACAGCTCTACGCAGCAAGATGAAAGCAAAGGCTTTAATGGAATGTGACCATTACACCTCCAAGTATGCTCAATGTGCAACAGGAAGAACACTATCTGTTGTGTGGCAATGCCGTAAGCAAGCTAAAGAGCTAAATGGTTGTCTCCATCAGTAGTAAGTGCATACCTTCTAAATTCCCTTTGAGTCTTTCAAGATTCTGATTTTGCTCATTACCATCTACTTATATTACTCTAGGATGTGGGTTTGTTGAGATTCAGCATAATGGTAATAAGGCATTGCATTTGCATTTTCACATTACGATTCTATCCAAGTGGATGGTAGACAATGGGGTTAAGACAGTCGTATCCTATCTTAAGGAAATACTAATACAGTAACTATTAAACAGGATAAATGTCTGAATCTTTCTGCCTTTCTTGAAAACTATCAAGGATTTAGTTTTACTTGCTAGAATTTTGGCATTTCTCATAGAGAATGGTGCTATGTTATTGGAATGAGTGATTGCATAGTCCTAGCTGAATAAACATCAGGTACTTCAAGAAAGAGGAAAACTAACTAGATCCTATTGATGCTTTGCTCATTTACTGTTTGATCATATGATCTAGGCTAGGTTTTGTTTAGCATCTTATTTGAGCAATCTTTCTGTTGATACTTACCCTTGTTTGAGTATGCTTACCTTCTTTGTTTGCACATCTGTGTTTGGCTATGCCTTTCAGTTTTGCTTCAAAACCTGGTTTTACCTGATTCTCTGCCTTTGATTGATTCCTTGGAATTCGTCTCCCTGAACACACAACCCCCTTATGATTAACATCTTAGATCACAGTGAAAATGTTTGTATAGAAACATTGGATCTAATTGTGTTGTTGGCTTTGCCCTTTTTTCGAAATGGCAGCACAAACGACAAGGTCCTGGAAGAAATGAAGAGAGAGTATACGCTCCAGGAAGAGAGTAAAAGCTCTGCATCCATTTAGTTTTCAAGGGATATCTTTCTTCTTCGCTGAGCCATTTACACAGTTCGGTGGCTATCATCTTGTGTTCCTCTCCTTTCATTTTCCCCGAGTTGGATTTTTTTTTTTTTTACTGAAAGAGTTTTTGGTCACTGTCATGGGCCATAGCCATGGCCATAGGGACACACAGGGGTCGTATCTATGAACCACTTTCAAGAAATTATAAGAAAGTCGAATTATAACTCTTGGATTTTTCTGCTATTCAGCGATAGTAAATTCAACTGCAAAAGGCAGGCTCCAGAAATATGAGTATAAGTTTAAAGTAAACTAAAGAAAGAAGAGAAGAAAAAAAAAACATCCAAAGATGCTCAAAATTTTTCATGTATTCCCGAAACGACAAACTAAGTAGGCTTCCTCATGTTTCTTCCGGCGCGAATCACTTCGTCCACCAACAGCAACTGCGACGCAATCACGGGCCTGCACATTACACAGAGGAATCTCAGATGCATACATATATATACATATATATATGAGACAGATGATCTTTAAGACAGAACAGTATGGAGGGTTTATTTTTTGTGTTTATAATAAAAAAAATCATTAAAGTTGTTTTCTTGGATTCGGACATACCCTGAGTTTATAAGTTGGCGCTTCACAGAGTAATTGTCAAAAATACCGGCAAACTGAGGGTCGACGGCTTCTCCATTCACCAGGTTCAGTCCCACGACGTTCCCTTTGTCATGCTCGCTCTGTTACATTTACATTTTCCCTCTTTTTGCATTACTGAAGTCTGATTGCAGAAGAGAAGACAGAGAGAAGTATGAAACTATACCTTGAGAGCGATGATCACGTCTTGTGTGTCAAGACCCGCATTTTCAGCCAGTGTCTTTGGAACCACGAGCAGGGCATCGGCAAAAGCTTCAACGCCCAGTTGAGCTCGCTATACAACATACACACACACACACACAGCGACATTAGCAACCTAACCAAAACACACAGCATACATCAAGGTAGAGTTTTTATTACCCCTTGAACGGTTTTCTTGACTTCATTGATTAAGTACTGTCTTGCTGCCACTTCAAAAGCTCCAGCTCCCTGCGCGTAAAGGGGCAATCACAACTATGGATAAGTCAAAATTATTAACAAACACCAGATTTTTCGGTATGCCTCTGCTAACCCTTCAGATGTTTTCTAGACAAGAAGGAGGATACTTACCAATACAACACACTCATCTTCAAGGGTATTCTTGACAGATCTGAGACCATCACGAACAGCATCCTTGATTTGAGCAATCGTATGGTCGTTAGGTCCTACAAAAAAAACGAAGACATTAAGGATGAACAAAGTATGTAAGCTAAAAACTTAGCCAAGAGATAGATGTGTCGACAGTACCTTTAATGAGGATGGTACATGAATGAGGATTCTTCACGTGCTCAACAAACGTGTACTTTTCCTCCCCGAGAACATGCTCATAGACAAGTCCAGCCCACCCGAGGCAATCCGGTGTCAAGTCATCAACAGAATTCACAGCTTCTCCACCACAGGCCAACACCAGACGCTCCATATTCCTCCTCTTTGCTCGTCTAAGGGCAATTATCTGGACACACCCACACACAAACACACAAAGAAGAGAAAACCAGATTTAACAACCGGCACACAAGAAATCCATCCAGTAGCACTGAAAAGACAACCTAAGTTTATTAAGAGATGAGCAAAAACTAGGAAGCCCATCACTTAAAAAGCCTTTATGCAAACATTCTAGCCCTTTTTATTTGGTTCTAGTATCCTCTATATTTAAGGATAGTTGCTAATTTTGCCTTTACAGTCAGATTCAATTTACTACATTAAACTCATCCTTCTGTAGTACATTGTTATTCTTCTCTTCTAAGACATCAGAATGACCAATTCCAGCTAACTATAACCAAGAACTGTGTGATTATGGCTCCACAGAAAGTGTAAAGTTAATTGCAGCTTACCCCTTCTCTAGCAAGAAGATCCAACGATGGTGGATCAATACCCTTTTGATTTATGACAACAAAGTTGTTGTCAGTACCAGCACAGACCTGAACAACGAACAGAAGATGTAATCTTTGAAGGAAAACAATACATGGCTAGAACTAGTGGTTTCGGAGGACCAACCTTGTTCTTCATCTCAATAATCTTTTTGACTCTTTCATCAACAGACCGCCTTTCAGCAGCAACCATGGCTTCCCTCTGCTCCGCATTGGAATAGAAAAATCCTGCATTGATTTCACTGATGGAAAGAAGTTTCGATTAAATTGCCAATCATCTGAAGTATAGTATATTGACATGATTATTATCTTATTTTTAATTGATTAAATTCATAAAAACAGGTTACCAGACAGCCTTTGACCTTTTTCACACAATCGACCAGGGAACTAACGTAAAAACAGAAAGCAGCAGCTTCCCTTCTAATGCACAAAACTGTTGAATTCCAGCACAACTACACAAAAGATTTTTAGATACACACCTCTTCTCATACTCCAACGAGACATTGCAGGTAAGAATGTAACAGTTCTCTGCACGTCGCTTCATGTCAGGGTGTCTTGAGCCGTGATCAAGAACAAGCCCCTCAACCTAATTCAGTTAGTAAATTGGAACGATTACCACAATGGGCCGGAAACATGATAATTATGAAACCAAAATCCTGTAAACAATTTAACCCTGAATATAAGCTAAAAGAATCATAATTATTCCTCATTGAACATCCGCAAGTTTCAGTTAGCCAAGAACTTTACAATAATGCAACCAAATCAAAGACATACTAATCGTGTGTCGACATCAAATTTATGGCGCATGTGCATTATCTCCACCATAAACAGATCAATAGGTTCCTCGGGCTTCCGGATGCAGAGAACCTGTTACAGATGGGAAATAGATACTTAGGAGATAAAGAAGATAGACGATGATAATTCTATCCAAATCGAAATCTCAGGAAGCTCACCGAATTAACAACAATGTCAGTCAGTTGATCAGCCAAAGATTCGTACAGCTACACCAGGTAAAGGGTACGTTAGCAAGTGAACTGAAGGAGCAGTGGTAAAAGAAACGGTCTTGTAAGAAAGCAGTGAACCTTAGTTCTCAGAGTTGTTCTGGCAACCATTTTTAGGATCTCTTTATCGGGCTCGTTACCCATTATGGCACTCGTCTTGAATTTTTCAAGAAACTGGAGCGTAGCCCTTTTGGCAATTTCGAAACCATCAACTAGAACTCGTGGATGCATTCCTGATACAATCATAAATCCCATTAATGAGTTACCAGTTCGTAAACTACGGATACATACCAGAATCTGTAAAGAAACCAACTTCAGGTGAAAGCAAAAAAAAACCTTCATCAATGTAGCGTTCAGACTGTTTCATAAGCTCGCCAATGAAGATGACAGTGGAAGTAGTGCCGTCGCCACTTATGTCATCTTGTGCAACAGCTGTTCTGGCAATCATGATCGCTGTTGGGTTTTGAATTTGCTGCAAATATTAGCCAAACATGTAAGCACAATCGAATCAAGCTAAGCATGCTTGGAAATGTAACAGGAAGCTAAAGTCCCAACGGATCAAAAAGATCTAGGGTTTTCCCAGACTCACCATTTCCTTCAACAGCGTATTCCCGTCCTTGGTGAGCTTGATATCTCCGGCACCACCAACAAGCCTACACAGTTAAAACCCAACAGAAAATCAGTGAGAAAGTGAAATATAGAAAGAAACATAACAGAGAGACCGCAACAGAGAGAGCGATACATCTTGATGGTTCCTTTAGGACCGAGATTGGTTTTGAGAACATCCTGCAAACCCTTGGCGGCGTTAATGTTCATATGAAGCGCCGCAGATTTGTTAAGAACCTCGGCATTAGGGTTCAGAACACGCAGCGACATTTTCCAAGACTTCACCTTTCGCTCAGAGAGAGAGAGAGAGAGAGAGAGAGAGAGAGAGAGAGAAATGCGCCTGAGAGAAAACCTAACGTCTTGGAAGGTTTTCCGCTCGCAAAGTGAGGGAAACTGAGAGGAGCACAAAAACGACGTCGTACTATAATCAACTCATGAATCCAAACATTCAAAGAGACACATATGGTGAAACAGAATAACGCGTTTGGTCTAAAAAGTCTTTACATTGAGTGTGTCTCGTCCATGAAACATGTCTGGAACACGGAACATATATCAGAGTACCCCAAACAAAGACGACCAAACATTGTTTTACATAAAAGGAGAGGAGAGAGTAGAGAGAGACAAGAGTGGTGGGGTTTGGGTTATTCGTCGAACTCGTGAATGTGATCGAGAAGATAGTTAGCAGCCAACTCTTCGTTCTTGTTGCACGCGAAGAACACCTCCAACACCAGCGCTCTGTCGAATCCCATTGCCTCCAGCTGCAATTTTATATATATAAACCAACCGTATGTATCACAAAATCCAACAATCTCATCTCACAAATGAACCGAAAAGAGATTCAGACCCGTTCGATTGCTTCACGTTCCTCTGGCGTTACTTGTATCGCCTGCGGCACTCCTCCCGCCAATTGGTTGATTATGTTTCCCCTGAGACCATAACCGAAGAAATGGGTATTCAAAAAGCTTGCAACTTTTCATCCAGAAAATCACAATTATTATGTCGGAATGATCACATACCCTTCTCCCCCTTCAACGGGTTCGTTTATAAGGCGTAAGAAGTCGGCCTGATGCTCTTGAATCAGCCTCATCAAGTGCGGATTCTGCTTCCCCAGCTCCTGTAGCATAGGCTGTTCAAACACCATTAACAGAATCAGTCATTAGTAAAGAAATCGAATGAATCACCCGAAAAAAATACAAAAGCTTTAGTCCTTTCTCTTCAATACCTGTAGGATTTGAGGATTTGCTTGCACCATCGCACGAAGAGCTTGGAACTGAAAGGGCACACAAAATGTAAATTCCAAGTAAACGTTTCGTAAACTGGAAGAGAAAGTGATAGCTCCTAAGGGGACGCACCTGTTGGCTGTTGCGCAGGAAATCAAGTGTGCCAGCACCAGTATTTGATCCAACATTAGGCAGACCCTGTTTCAGATAAAGATGAGAATTAGACACGCACGATGAACCATGCAATGCTTTCTATCTCAAAGTGAGTTCAAGATAATAAAAAAATTAAAAAAAACACACACACCTGCGGGAAGAGATCTAACGGGTTAGCATTAGGACCACTTGTGGGTGCCACTGCGGGTTGTTGCTGAGACTGTGCCGGAGGATTTGTCGGCTGACCACCACTAGCCGGGGGACGAGTAACTGGTGGAACTTCTGCTTGCTCAGGTATCCCCTGAGACATTGGTATCAGTGTAAGTAAAGCTTTAATCCTCAGCTGACAAAAAAGCTGCCCCTCAAATGAAGTTTTACAAAATGAGCATATATTATCTGCCGAAAAGTTGGAAGCATGGGAATGAGCTTACAGAGTATAGATATTCCACAGCTCTTTCAGGGTTGTTATACGCAGCACGGAGAGCACGGACAACAGTGTCACGGTCCCAGCTTCCTCCGCCCATATCAAGAATCTGCTGAATGATGGCCTCTAAGTTACTTCCAGCGACCAGATTTGATGCTGCTTGTCCATAAACATCAGTCTCAGATCTATCTCAGCCAAAGCAATTAGGAAAGATATCAAGAGTAAGCCATAAACAAATTCTCGGAAACGTGCAGGTAATATTTAGCCATGGGTTGGATTTACATAGTAAAGAATACTCACGCAGCTGGAGCCGAAGAAGGTGCAGTTGCAGTTGCAGGTGCAGGTGCAGGTGCAGGTGCAGGTGCAGGTGCAGGTGCAGGTGCAGGTGCAGGTGCTGGTGCAGGTGCAGGTGCAGGTGCTGTCGCGGGTGTAGGTTGTGGTCTGTACAGATTGAGGAAGATTGGAAAACAATGAACGCAAATTCTTTTTTTCTTTCCATACTACGAAATCATAGATTAACTTCTAGACAAAAGATCAATTAGAGAAAATAAGTTGCTACAACTCACGTTGCTACAGGAATCAGAGGCTGAGTTGATGCAGGGGGTACAGGAGGAGCCTAACCCGAATCCCGATCACACAACGCAATTAGATTAGACCAACAAGAATGCATGCATAACTAAGAGAAAGAGGCCATTTTAAACTTCATAATTTGCTAAAACACTGTCCATTTCAGACAATTCCGCTGATTTCAAGGGTGAAATATGGATCAACTCACTTGAAATGTAGGCGCAGAAGATGCAGTTGAGGACCCGCTTGATGCTGGTTTACTCTGCATTTTTTTTGGTGCCCAATCAAGCACGAACAGGTCAGCATCACGATAGCAAATCTAAAATCTGAAACAAAAAGACTTGCACTTTCCCACCCAAATCTAAAACCCAACCTTGGACAACATGATGACAATAAAACTGTTCTCAGCAACTTTGTTCTCCTCCATTGTGGTTTCATCTTTCAGAACTTTCCCTTGGTGAATAAGCATCTGTTGTGCAGCAGGATATACATCGGGGCTTTGCACCGTCTCTATATTCTTCTTCACGTCAGCAACCTGAACACAATTTCCCCATGAATCATCATCGGTCACATATTTTTTCCCAAACCAGATACAATTCCACAGGTAATAAACTAGCAGCCTCAAGTGTGTTCATTCAAAACACATTCACAGACACTGGAAAGCCAGTGAATCATATTACAAATCTAAAAATTTCACAACGATAATCCACAGAGAAAAGCACAAAAAAGATGAACACCAGGAAGTCAACATAAAATCCAAAGATACCATAATCATTTTATCAAGCTATGACATCTCAGCCCTTCTCATAACATCACATAAACCAGAACCAGATAAATATACACTCTCGACTACAAAAGATAAAACAGGGCAAGAGACCCTTTTTTTAAGGAGGGCTAACCAAATGAACTATAAAGTACTAAACTTCAGATCGCGAAAAGAATCTGTGAACATAGCAAACCCTAAACCCGACCGTATCGGAGAATTAGAAACAAAAGTTGAGGAAGAACAAGAAAAATTAGATCGAATTAATGCGTTGGATACGGAATTCAAGTGTTTCTACGATACAACTGAAGGAAAAGCCTGGACATTTACATACCGTATCCTCAGGTTTCACTTCGATCTCGAAGTGCGTACCCTTTAGAGTTTTGACAAAAATCTTCATCTTCTCTTAACAAAGAGACGCTTTCCACTGACCGATTATTCTCCGGTCAGATTCCAATCGCCTCGATCGCCGCCGGCGAGAAGTTCCGAAGAGAGAGAAAACTAGTAGGTAGGTCGCAAGCAGAAGAAACAGCAATGCGTTCGCTCGATATTTCCACTGGATCGGGGCCCGGATCACATGGATTGTAGTACTCTCCTGAGCAGATTGTAATCCAATAGGGATACGACACGTGGAAAAGACAAATTATTTACCAAAAAATAAGCCAAAATACTCGACGGTACTACTGGACCAGATTAAAGATTCATAGTTTAATGGGCCTTGTAAGGCCCAATCAAATTTTGATGGGTCCGGCCCATGATACGAACTTGTGATAAAAGTATGGTCGACAATTTTTGCCCTTTCAACTCATCTATTCATGTAAACAGCATTTGTACAACCTCTCTCTCCTAATTCACATGTGAAGGGGAAAAAAGATTTTAAAAAAAAAGAATTAAGGGTAAACGGAATTGTTAACGGCTCGGCTTCGAAAGCTGAACAGAGCCGAGCTGTGAGCCGACACGAACCAAAACTCCTATTGTACATACATAGATAGACATGTATATATGTATAATCTTTCCTTCAAAGCACCAGCTCAGTCTTACACGTGCTGTCATCTTGACACGTGCCAAACACACCCACCCTCCTCTTCTTCATCGGTACCACGTGATACGCACGTGACACCGGCTCCATCCCCAGCGTCAGCTCCAGCTCTATCTCCCCGCACTCCGTCACCGTCGCCTCCGCCGTCGTCTCGCTCTCCGTCTCCTTGCTCTCCCCTCCGTCGTGACCCCCCCCCCCCGCCACAACCTCCGACTGGTGGCTCAGCGACGACTCGTGGCTCGCCTCGTCCCCGCCAACGCACTTCGGTTCCGGCGGATCCACCGGCTTCGCGGCGGAGGACCGGCGGGTCCGGCGGGTCTTGGGGCGCTTCCGGTCGGCGGAGGCAGAGGCGGAGTTCTCGTCCTTGGACACGTGGCGGATGTCGTAGATCTTGAGCGGTGGACCCTGACCGTCGGCCGCCGCGTCGGTGGCGATAGGCGTGATCGGCTCACCTTTAAGGACAGCTTCCACGGCGGCTTGGCAAAGATGCCAACTTCCCGACCAAAGCAAACCCACCGAACCGTAGATCGGATTCACGATCCTCCCACACGCTTCGTGCAATAACGACCGGAAAATAGCTGCAACCAAACAAAAAGAAAAGAACTTTTTCTGATCAGAAACAACCCAAATCCAGAAGGGCATCATTCAGAAAAAAGGACAGCGTTAGTGGGGACGGACCAGGGCGAAGGTGGTCGGGACCGGCGTTGATGAGGTTCATGAGACCGGCACGGCCGTAGAACTTGGCGAGAAAGACAGTAGCGTTGGCCTGAGCGTCGGGGGATTTGATCCAAGCCAAACACGGTCTTATGCTACAATTTTCACTGCACCCTTTCCTCAGAACTCTACATCCATTACAGCTCATCCGCATTTTCGGCCAATCTCTCTTTCTTTCTTTATCTGTTTGGGTTAGAGAATGTTATTGTGGGGAGGGAGGAGATGAAGGGGGAAGGCGAATTATATAAAGAAAAAGGTTGGATTTTTTGCATGCGTGAGGAGAAAAACAAAAGAAACGTGGAAGGCCCCTGGGTTTTTGGGGGGCGATGGAGGTTTTCTCCTTGTAAAACTGAGGGAAGAAGTGCAAAATGACAAAAACATTACACAGATACAGATAGAGAGAGAGAGAGAGCTGTTTTGTTTACGGGAGTTTTTTTTTGGTCCAAACCTCCAAAACGCCGTGGTTTTTTTTTCTCCTCATAAAGGCCGTGTCTCACCTCCACTCTCGGCCGTCACGCGTGTGTTACACGCGCTCCGTTTGTAGAATCATGTTAACAAATACTATGTTCTATAATCATAAGTTTTATAGTCATAAAAAAATATATAAAAAATACAAAAATAATATATATTATTCATATATATTATATACTCTTATACGTTTCTGGGGGGTTATTAATCTATTCTTAACATAAGTTGGACAATTTCGACAAAAAAAAAATATAATACTAAAAATAAATTCTAGATTTTTGTTTTCGAATTGAGATCGAAATCTGAAATTAACAAAAAATTGTGAAATAATATTACATCCATGATTCCATGCAAGTAGGTCCAAAAGGCGAGCAAGCACGTGGCGTTCACGCTCGCGCGTCACCATTCCGTCGACTCGCCACATTTCAGGCAGAGAGCGCGTGGGACCCATACTCGGCTTCCGGTTTTTCTCATTTTGCTTTTATATATTTTTAATATATGGTAGAATACGAATATATATATATATATATATATATATATGTGGAAGGAACATGATAAAAGCTCCTGGTTTTCGGGAAGCATCCGAGTGAAACCGCCATTTGGATATCCAAAACCAGTGACCGGTTTCCGGTTTCCGGTCCTGACTGTGGGCGGATCTTTTTATGTCATGTTGGCCGACGGTTTTGTGAAACTAATGTTTTCTTAATCATCTTTTTTTATTAGGTACAAAGCTTATCTTTGATTTATTTTTAAAATTTTATGAGGGCTGATTGATTAGGTATTCCCATTGTTTTGGATTTTATTGGTTTTTGGGAAATTATTTATTTATTTAATAAACAATGCTATATCCTTCCATTTTGGAGATGATATTATTATTATTATTATTAAGCTATGTTGGTGTTGAAGTTTAAATTGATGTAAGATGAAAGATATTAATTTTGGAGATTTGATTATGTCTCATATCGTGACATGACAAGTGAGGAATGAATCGAAGGTATTTTATGAAAATGGTTTATATTTTCTACTAACATTACACTTTTGTTTTTCACCCAAATAACTACATTGAACTAAAATATAATTATCTAATCTTATATCGTACGTGGCATGACATATGCGAATACTACGCCAAGTCCTAACATTCATGGCATGCCATCCGATTTTTTTGGTATCTGATTCCAGTTCGGATGTTACCCTCAAATGCCCAAATAGATTAGAAAATTACTAAAATACCTTTAATAAAAAAAAATTTATCAACATTACACATATATAGTTTACATTTCAAGGTCTTCCAACATAAAAATAAATTTGTTGGGTTCAAATATTTTAGTTGCAGATAAAAATATATGTTTATGTATTTAATGGTATGACATCAGTATTTTAATGTTGGGAACCTCATATGCTATCCTTCGAACGATGATATCAGTTCTATACTTCGTCACACATCGTCTTCCTTGTCAATATCCGTTCATCGATTACTTACAATCCCTCTGTTCTTCTCGACGAAAACAAGAGTTCATTGATTATTACAAACTTACCACAAAATCTAGAGAGAGATTTCTTCTTCCGCAAGAAACACTCGAAGGACGAGCGAGAGAGAGATGAGTAGACATTAGAACCAATGGAGGATGAGTGTATGATCACATGGAGATACAAAAAGGAGTGTCAGCATTCATGGGTTTCCACTGTTGCAGGAGGAAACCCTAGTTCTGATCTGATCGTTAAGGACTGCAATAGCAGCAATGGCGCTGATCTTCTTCCCCTCTCTATTCCAGGGAAAAAAAATCTTGCTCAAGGTCACTTCACACGTGTCGCCATGTGATTGGATATTTTTTGATAATCGTTTAAGAATATTCTGACTATCTCGTCAGTGCGTTCACACACGCATGAACTATGTAGACAATTATTACTTCAGATGTCGAATCGAAACACAGCCGACACAGAAAGATCGCAGCTTTATTCAAATTATTGGGAAAAAAATCGATTTTTGTTACGTAATTTTGGAAATTCGAAATGGCCATCCGCCACAAAATGGAATCGAGCATTCTGATGTTTTGGTTTGCAGATTCCCATGACATAATCGTGTGGCCACTTTTATCGGATCCCAATCTTTCAATGTTTTGAAAGAAAAAGGAAGGCGATGACTTTTATGTCTGCGTTTAAATCGTTTTATCGGAGATGAAAGACAAGAAATGGCTCTGAAATCGGCAGAATTCTCCCTTTTTAATCCATCACATGGTACCCGTTCACTGTTTCCGTTCTTTTGCTTTACTTTCCGGGAAAAAAAAGTTCTGTTCTTGGGGTGAAAATGAGGTCAATGCTTTGTTTTTTTTTCTGTTTCTTGGATTGTAAATAGGCATTGAGATTTCTAGAAGATAGCGATTCTTCCTATACTTTTCTGGGTTTGGTTGTGTAGAGTATTTGCCCGACGAACACCTCACCGTAACCACTCCGACGCTCAAGAACGAGAGAGAACGACACAGCGGAATAACGAGTTCAGCACCGAGAGAACTCGGTGCCTACGTCTCGGGAAGAGGATCAGCAGTCTACTAGGGTTACAAACGGAGAGAGACCACCGGATACCGACCACCGGCACCGGAGAACACGAATCGCAGATTCGTCGAGAGAGAGAGAGAAGAGAAAGTTCCAGAAAACGAAAAACACCGTCTGAGCCAAAAAACACAAACCCTAGGGCACATTAATCCGCCCTTACACAAAGACCGAAATACCCTCCGTAAGCCTCTGAGAGAATCCGAGGCTTTCAAACCCTCCGCTTCGTCTGGAGGCTTTTGCTGAAGACAAGCTCCAACAAATCTCCACCTTCTTCTGCAAAACCTGCAAAACAAACACGAAGCAAGCAAAACACGCCTAACCCTAGAGTGCCGATCCCGTAACTTCCATGTAACTCCCCCTCCGGGCATGGTTCAAGGCGCATTGAACCTACCTTTCTAAAGGAGTCCTTACCGAGCGTGTCATAAACACAACTCAGCGTGACACGACGCACCTAACCTACCCAAGCGAGTGTCCCCCGACACCTCCGCTTCCGAAAGTTACCTAAGACCTAGACTAGTATGACTCCCTAGACCGTCTAAGTGACCCCCTCCGGTGAAGTCTATACCTCACCAATGGCCCCTCGAGGGTCACGCCCCGACATCTACCCGTCCCCCGAGTCTACCCCGACTGCCCCGAGACCAACCTTGAGTCATACTAACACACCTAACTCGAGAGGAAACGCCCCTAGCGCTACTACCCTCACCGACTCTACCCGGTGACATGGCATTCCCCCGCTCACCCCTTCCCCTGAGCTTCCTACCCGAGGTAACTCCACCTAGACGTGGAGACCTCACCTCCGATCAATAAATTTTAATAACAAATAGACGAATAAACCGCGCATCGCGCGGGTCTCTCCTAGTCAATCTAAAGAATTCATAATAGTCGCTTGGTTTTCTCATTGCAGCCAAGAAGAACTATTCCCGTTCCTCGATCCAAGAACCTGCGACGGCCGGAGAACAGAACCTCCTTCTCCTCCTCCGCTTACATCGCCGTCCTCCGCCACCTCCGCGTTCGCGTTCACACCTCCGACGACGCCCATAACGTTATTATACATGTACGGACGCGTCTGCGGCGGCGCGTGAGCTATTTGCTGCTGAAACGTGTAGGGCCACGGCGGCGGCACGAGGGAATCTCCTCCACCATCGCCGTTTCCGCCGAGACCGAGAGGCGGGTTCAGCGACGGCGGAGTGAGAGTGAAGCCGGGATCCGGACTCGGACCCGACACGAAAGCCATGGCGGTGGGACCGCCGGTGAATTGCTGAACCATGGCTCTGAAGTTGGTGGTGTTGGTGTTGAGAAGCGGCGTCGGTGTCCGGCGAGAGGCCCTCGGTCGCCGCCGCGCGGGCTTGGAGACCCGGCCGGTTTCTGGGCTCAGGCGAGAATCTCCGGCGGCGGAGGCGGTGGTGGTGAATAAGCTCTGGTTGTTGTAGAACTGAGACCAGTCGTTGGGATTATTAGCCATCGCTGTGTTTTTTTTTTTGGTACGAGACAGAAGAGATTTTTGTAAGAAAGGACGGAGGAGGAAGCAGACACAGAGACTTCGTTTAGTATTTATGGAGTTTTTTGTTTTTGTTTTTTTTAAACGGAGGAGACTCGGTCAAATAAAGACTATTAGATTAAATCGACAAAATATCCAAAATACCCTCCTTATACTAAAACTATTTCTGCACCTACCCTTCTCCGGTTGTGACCTTGTGACCAAAATAATTGTATGGTCACATGATGGTCACATTGGTCATAACGTTAGATTTTTTTATGATTTTACCAAATTAGTATGATATGTAAGGTGTGACCACGGTGATTTAATATAATTAACATAAATTTAACGTTATGGCCAATGTGACCATCATGTGATCATACATGAATTCTGGTCACAAGGTCATAACTGGAGAAGGGTATGTGCAGAAATAGTTTTAGCAAAAGGAGGGTATTTTGGATAATGACCCGATTAAATCAGGGCCGTTGATTTCAACACGTGGATTTCTGTAAGCTCCTTCGCATGGTAACTACATAATGATACTAATTTGTAATATAGAACTAAAATGTACTTTATACGTTTTAAAAAAAATCATCTCAGCGTAAGAATTGAAATTATATATTGAATAGGGACATCATCAAAAATACCCCTACTTTGCTATTTTTATTTAAATACATACCCTTCTTCTGTTGTGACCATGTAATCAATGTGACCCAAAATATAGTGTGGTCACATGTTGATCTCATTGTTTATAACATTAAATTTATAATGTTTTAATCAAATAATTAGTAAGATATATAAGATATAAACATAATAAATTAGTGAGATCACCATAAATTTAATGTTATAATTAATAAAATCAAAATGTGACCACACTATATTTTGGGTCACATTGATCACATGGTCACAACTGGAAAAGAGTATATATTGAAGTAAGAATAGCAAAGTAAGAGTATAATACCTATTGAATAACTGAACGCAAAAGGTTTAGAAATACTTAAGAAGACCCTTAATTTATGTTGAATTTACGAATCGACCTCAAAGTTTAGAAAAAACACTTTCATAGTACCTTTGGTTCCTATATTTCAAGAACGCCATATATATATATATAAATATATATATCTCCAGAATTCAAGAAATTAATATGACTCTAGAGCGTTACAAAATTTAAAATCTCTAATAAATAATCAGTAGAGCAACATGAAAGAAGTTCTATTGATTAATATTAATTTTTTTTCCACGAGGGAGGGGGGGATCACAATTTTCAAAACCTTGGAGGTTAAAACAAGAAATTCGATAAATGTTTTGGGCATCATTTCTTCATTGTATTGACTATTAACCGTAGCAGCGCACGTGCAACAACGGTCCATGCGGGCTGATAAACGGCGACATTTGTACAAATGTTTGAATTATTTCGATGGCAATAAATTTTTTTTTCGTAATTCGGTATAATAATACATGGCCATGGAAAGTAATTGACGTAGAAACATGGAAGAAGTTGGTCAACAGGAATTTCAGGAAACAACACAGAAATTCCAAGAAACCTTAGTTCATGGATTTGACGATACGACCTATTTGTTTGTGTATTTGAAAAATAACTGTGTGTGTATATACCAATAAATATTATGAAATTATTTTACATCCAATATAAAAACAGTATATAATTCAATAATAAGATAATATATTGTTAACGTGAAGAACAACTTACAACTACAAGAGAATCCTCCAACTCTGTTGGTTTGAGAATCTCTTCCTGTAAACGAGGTCGTGGGTTCAACACCCAGAGTATGGAGATTCCCCTCCTGCCATCTTCGAGTGTTTCACATCCCACGTATGTGTTGCAGGGTCGTGCGCGTGGGTCGGAATTAGTCTAGACCTTTGGGCTTGGAATTACCCGATTATAAAAAAAAAAAAACTTACAACTACAAAGACAATCTTTACAAAGCCACTTTATTGGATCTTATAAACTAAAACATACATTTCTTTGATCTATTAAATAAATAAATAAAAAATACATCCCTTTCATTTCACTTGGAATCCTCAAATGGGCTTTGGTCCAATTAATAATCCTGATAAATCCCAGAACCATCAAAACATTCATGTAGCGTGTGTATATATATATATAGAGAGAGAGAGAATTCAATTCGTAAAAATTTAAGATTTTAAAATTAATTCAACATTTTATAAATTTATTCTATTAAATGAAATATAGAAAAATAAACCTACAATTCGAATGAAAATTCAATTGTTAGCAACGTTAAGATTAATGAAAAACGATGATATTTTTTTGTTCTATTTAAAAATACAACAAAAACATAAAAATAGAAATAAATATTCAATAGTTAGAGAACAATGATACGTATTTATTAAAAACTAGAATATGATTGATTAATATTTAGATGTCGGTTATAGAAAGATAAAATGTTTTTTTAAATCGAGTTCAAAGGACTGTGATGGACTTTTTTTTTGTAGTTTGTGTTTTGGATTATATAGAAAATTAAGTTAACAAATATTGTTTAGAATTACTAACTCGATTTATGTTGGAGCTTGTCTTCAGCAAAAGCCTCCAGACGAAGCGGAGGGTTTGAAAGCCTCGGATTCTCTCAGAGGCTTACGGAGGGTATTTCGGTCTTTGTGTAAGGGCGGATTAATGTGCCCTAGGGTTTGTGTTTTTTGGCTCAGACGGTGTTTTTCGTTTTCTGGAACTTTCTCTTCTCTCTCTCTCGACGAATCTGCGATTCGTGTTCTCCGGTGCCGGTGGTCGGTATCCGGTGGTCTCTCTCCGTTTGTAACCCTAGTAGACTGCTGATCCTCTTCCCGAGACGTAGGCACCGAGTTCTCTCGGTGCTGAACTCGTTATTCCGCTGTGTCGTTCTCTTTCGTTCTTGAGCGTCGGAGTGGTTATGGTGAGGTGTTCGTCGGGCAAATCCTCTACAAGTGGTATCAGAGGCCCTGGTCGAAGCGTTTTTCCGGTGGATCTCGGCGGTGTCTCGGTTATCCAGGTAAGGTTGAATCTGGTAAGTTCCGATCTGAGCGTTCTGACGGTTCTTTTAGGTGTTTCAGGTTGCGAAACAGGAAAAGTGAAGCTCAGAAGGTTGAATCGGCGGTGAATCAGCCGGTGGCGAACAGATCGGAGGTGAGAAAAACAAGATTTCTCTCGGAGCTAACTCGGGTCGAAGAAATCGGACGAGTTTGAGTCCGCAGAGGTAAGTCGGTTGCGTCTTGTGTTAGATCTAGGGTTCTGGGGGGGAGAAACCGGTGAAAACCGGTGGTTCCCGGTGAGTCTTGGCCGTGACTCGTTCGAGTCGCGACTGAGTCGTCTTCGGGGTTGAGTCAACGTCCGAGTTGGCTCGGGTTAACTCGGCGGCTTCCGTGTTCCGAATTAGGGTTTTCGGTTCTGATCCGGTTTAGGTCAAACGTTGACCAGTTTCTGGTCAACAGTTGACCGGGTTAGGAAAGCCGGACCGGTTCAGGTCAATTGGACCGGTTCAGGTCCGGTTTGGGGTCAATTGGACCGGTTCAGACCGGTTCGAGTCAATTTAGGTCCGGTTCGGGATAACCCAGACCGGTTTAGGTCAATTTAGATTGGGATTGGGCCGGTTTAGGTCTGATTAGGGTCTGATTTGTCCAAATAGGGCTGGGTTTGTCCGGTTTAGGGTCTGTATCGATTAGAACAGGTCTAGATTGGTCGGTTTAGGGTCAGGATTGTCTGATTAGGACTTAAATTGGTTATATTTTGTATTTCAAACACCAGTGTCTATTTGTAAAAGAATTTTTTACAAATATTTGCAAAATATATTTCCCAAGTTTCTCAATATAAGTCATTTTACAGTTTATATGGAGTTTGAAATTTCTTGTTAATAAAAAAATAGATTTAAATAAAATAAAATAAAATTATATGATAATACTATATATATTTTAAAGTATAAAAATATAAAATTATTTTTATGTTGAAAGAACAACAAGGAAGACTAATGAAGATGATAATCGCGAACCTAATCCGAGATGGATCCCCTGCGGCGAGCACACCGTAAGACCGGCTAAGCCAAAAGCGAGAGATAGAGACACGAGTAAACCCAATCGCCGGTCCCGCTTGCCTCACTCTCTGGTAATGTGTCAACTTCTCATTGGGCCACGTCATCAACAAATCAAATCTCAGAACGCGGTGATAACGCCGTGGGCGGCGTTGCAGGGGATTGCGCTCGGAGAAGAAGATAAGTCCAAAGAAAAGCGAGTGACATAACTCTTCCTCCCCTTCTCAATACGGAAAAAAGGTTCACGATTTGACCTCCCAATTTTGTTCCTTTTTAAAAAAAAATTCTTTTTACAAATCTTGATATTTTTTTTAGTCCATATATACATATATATATATATATATATATATATATATTGTTCGGTATGATTTTAGTCTATAATTACCAACAATTTCATGTTATTTATTCACGTAATGATATATCCTGCGGGCTACAACATATATAAAAAATATTCATTATATAAAAAATTAAGTACAAAAAAAGTATGTATTAATTTTGTTATATACTCCATCCCATGAATGCCGTTACCTCGGTTACGTAATTAGTGGTGATTATAGACAATGAATAGGACCGTGAAATTAAATAAAAATAAAAAAAGATTAAGAGTTTAAAGATGATATGATTATGTGTGAGAGATAGAGCTTTTGCGGGACGTCTTTGTCGTGTTAGTGACACTACAGGGGTGTGTTTGTCGTGGTAAATTGGTCAAGAACAGACAAGATTAGTGGTGGTGACATGGCTTTTTTTTTTAAAGATAAATAATTAAGGAGTCAAACTATAACCATTAATCTTTGTAGAGTATTTGCCCGACGAACACCTCACCGTAACCACTCCGACGCTCAAGAACGAGAGAGAACGACACAGCGGAATAACGAGTTCAGCACCGAGAGAACTCGGTGCCTACGTCTCGGGAAGAGGATCAGCAGTCTACTAGGGTTACAAACGGAGAGAGACCACCGGATACCGACCACCGGCACCGGAGAACACGAATCGCAGATTCGTCGAGAGAGAGAGAGAAGAGAAAGTTCCAGAAAACGAAAAACACCGTCTGAGCCAAAAAACACAAACCCTAGGGCACATTAATCCGCCCTTACACAAAGACCGAAATACCCTCCGTAAGCCTCTGAGAGAATCCGAGGCTTTCAAACCCTCCGCTTCGTCTGGAGGCTTTTGCTGAAGACAAGCTCCAACAAATCTCCACCTTCTTCTGCAAAACCTGCAAAACAAACAAGAAGCAAGCAAAACACGCCTAACCCTAGAGTGCCGATCCCGTAACTTCCATGTAACTCCCCCTCCGGGCATGGTTCAAGACGCATTGAACCTACCTTTCTAAAGGAGTCCTTACCGAGCGTGTCATAAACACAACTCAGCGTGACACGACGCACCTAACCTACCCAAGCGAGTGTCCCCCGACACCTCCGCTTCCGAAAGTTACCTAAGACCTAGACTAGTATGACTCCCTAGACCGTCTAAGTGACCCCCTCCGGTGAAGTCTATACCTCACCAATGGCCCCTCGAGGGTCACGCCCCGACATCTACCCGTCCCCCGAGTCTACCCCGACTGCCCTACGGGGATCAAGAGTTAGGTGTGTTAGTATGACTCAAGGTTGGTCTCGGGGCAGTCGGGGTAGACTCGGGGGACGGGTAGATGTCGGGGCATGACCCTCGAGGGGCCATTGGTGAGGTATAGACTTCACCGGAGGGGGTCACTTAGACGGTCTAGGGAGTCATACTAGTCTAGGTCTTAGGTAACTTTCGGAAGCGGAGGTGTCGGGGGGAATTCTTGCGTCGACAAGAAGAAGATCGAAAACTCATTGAAGAACTACGAGTGCAAGCAGAATTTTTCAATGAGTTCCAAACCCGAGGATTTCCGAGCTTCGGAAGCGGTGGCGGTGGCGACGGCGATGAAGCCAATTACGATGGGGAAAATCAAAATTAAATATTTTATATTTTTTTTGGTTTGTAAATTAATTATGTATAACTTTAATTATATATTTAAATATAATAATATTTTTTTATTTTTTTTATATAGTGACGCATATTAGTGACACAATTGCGTCACTAATTTGGTGACGACTGCGTCACTGCGTCACAAAATAGTAACGCAGTTGTTCACGCAATATCGTCACTAATTTATGACGCAATTGCGTCACCAAAGCGCGTCAATAATTAGTGACGAAATTGCGTCACTAACTGGTGACGACTTTGGTGACGAAATTGCGTCACTAATTGGTGACGCAAGATGGTGACGCATAATGCGTCATATATTGGTGACGATTGGGTTACGCAATTGCGTCACTATTTAGTTACGCAATTTCGTCACCGTTGCTTCACCATTTATAAATAAAAAATGTAATTGTAAAATATCTTATATGATAAATATAAATATCTAAATATAATATAAACATTACTATATAATCATATGTTTTGGAATATTCCATCTATCTTTACCAATTTAATTTTAAAAAAGTGAAAAACAAATGTTTAAAGTGGAAATTTCACATAAATTAGTTGAATTTTAGACTAGTGTGGTCGATTCCCTGTTATAAAATACAGAAACGCGAATTATCGAATAACCGCTGGCTAGTTTTTTTATTTTATTTTTTTTATATATGATAGGTATAAATGAATACTAATTAATTTACATAATTAAAATTAATTATGATGATGATGATGTCACGTGGGTTCCAGGTTTGATCTTTTGCATGAAGAAGAGAACCATTTGTCTTGATCTATTAGATATAAGAAGACAAAACTGAAGTGGCACTTGCGATGTCGCCGCCCGACGACAAGGACGATTGGATTGGCTATTCTATTCGTCTACGTAACTCCATTTTTTTTTTAAATATTTTTAAATTTTAGATGGTAACATTTTCAAATATTCTTGAAAATCCTAAGAATCTTTCCATTCATGGAATTATATTATATTTTTGTCTATAAAAAGATAATTGATTTCTATATGAATCTTGTAAGGGCGAAATTAAAATTAGGAATTATATCCCAATAACCCAGATTTAGCAGAACTTACTAGAAAAAAATTTGAGGTAAATAAGTAGTAATTGCGATTAGGAGCTGATAATGAAGACATTTTTTTTTCTTTCCTTTGTTCATTTTACATGATAAAAGAAAAATATCTCCTTTGCCTCTTACTCTTCTTCTCCGTTTTCAAATCAATCTCGTTCTCCCTCCGAGAAAGCGGGATCAAGATCCTCCATTTTGATCTGCCTCTCCCTCTCCCTCTCCCTCTCTCTGTTTCTGTTTCTGTGTTCTGAGTTTCTCTCGTTCCTGTCCGAGAGCTTCGACGTAAGAAAATGGCGGTGATCAACAGGCTCTTCCGCTTGGCGCGTAGTTCTCAGGTTTTTCTTTGTTTTTTGGAGATCGTTATGTTTCCTACTCGATTATCTGGCTCCTTGATAGATCGCGTTCTTCTTCTTTCTAGGTGAAATCATTTGTGATGGCTTGACTTTTGTCGTTTTGTTAAAGCTGAAAGTCTCCTCCTTTTCAAGATCGATTCGCTGTTTTCTTCCAGATTCTGATTTTGCGTGAGCTAAATCTGGGTTTTGTGAGATGGGTCAAGAGAAATTTTAAAATTCCAACCTTCCCGGAGGAGATGGCTCCCTTTTTCTTGATAAATTTCGTTTCTTTCCCAATCACCAAATCGATAGTTCTCCTTATTGGAGTAAATTCGTTGGATCATGGGTATGGAGGAACAATTCATAACATTCTGAGAGTTGATGTTGATGCGATTCCTAGTTTCACTTGTGGGAATCTGTCTGAAATGCTCAACATTTTCCCCTGTCGTGACAGGTTAATTTCTACAGCAGGAATGCTGCTTCTGTCAAATTTATTCCTGGGAGTTCCACCTCAAGATCATTCAGTACAGAGGCATCTCAAGAGAAGAAAAGTCCGGTGGGGTGAGTTGCATATTCATTTCTGATGCTTCTGCTTTCCACTTTGTGCTTGGAATCATGCTAAGTATAAGAATGGCGAATCTCAAGGGGATGGATTGGCAATTGTGTTGAACTTTTTAAGGAAAACATGAACTGTGGAAATGTTTTCTTATCACTCTGTAACACCTTTTGTCAGGTATAAAGGTCATGATATGCTTGCACCATTCACAGCTGGATGGCAGACTGCTGATTTGGACCCCTTGGTCATAGAGAAATCTGAGGTACATGTCAAAAAAACCATCTTTTGATTGGCATCACCACCATGGATACTGATCAGAGGAAACGACCCATCGGCTTGTTTTGGTTTAACATGCTTCATCTTCTTACATTTCCAGGGTAGCTATGTGTATGATAATCATGGGAAGAAGTATCTTGATGCTCTTGCTGGTTTATGGTGTACCGCTCTAGGTATTTCTGATCGGTCCTGCTTCTGAAATTTTCTGTTGATTTCTGTTCTGCTGCCTGATTTCAAGATTGATGCACAAAAAATCTTTCAGGAGGAAATGAGCCACGGCTTGTTGCTGCTGCTACTGCACAACTGGATACCTTGCCATTTTACCACTCCTTTTGGAACCGTACTACAAAACCTTCTCTGGTAACTCCAATGGATTCCTTTCAACTTTTGTCTTGTGGGTTGGATTCATTCACGTAGTAACGTGATCATGCTGTCTGTGTTTCTATCGGGTGCAGCATGATATGCTTTATAATGATGGTTCATCAAAGAATTCCTCATAGCTTTAACATTGATTGTGATGATGTTTTCCCTGCGATATTCAGGATCTTGCTAAGGATCTTTTAGAAACGTTCACAGCTAAAAATATGGCTAAAGCTTTCTTTACAAACAGTGGATCAGAGGCCAACGATACACAGGTTTCACAACTGTTTACAGAACCTTCATCTCGCTATATTAACTTAACACTCAGCCATCTATTTTCCAAGTCACAGGGACCTATGTTTGATAATCTCGTTTATGTATAATGCAGGTGAAGCTCGTTTGGTATTACAATAATGCCCTTGGAAGGCCCGAGAAGAAAAAATTTATTGCACGAGCGAAATCGTGAGAGAGGATATTTACTTATTTACTTTGTCTTCTGTTTATCTGTTTTCATGAAATCTCAAAGTGCTTACAATGATGTAATGAATTCAGGTACCATGGTTCTACTCTGATATCAGCAAGTTTATCTGGGTAAGGAATCAACCTTATTTCTTCACACATCTATATTTCTTCATAAATATGATAAAGACTTGTTTCTCTGACAAAACATAACTTGTTGCTTCCAGCCTTCCAGCACTTCACCAAAAGTTTGATTTGCCGGCACCGTTTGTGCTACATACCGATTGCCCTCATTACTGGCGTCATCATCTTCCGGGTCTTTATTCTCCTCACTTGCATTTTCTTAACAAATGAGCTCTACTGTTTTTTTACCTTGGAAAATGCATGTTCAGGTGAGACGGAGGAGGAATTCTCGACAAGATTAACCAAGAATTTAGAGGATCTTATCATCAAAGAAGGACCCGAAACAGTATGTCAATTCTGTTGTTCTTTTGCTCATATATCATAGTGTCTTAGCATCCCAAGCTAATGCAAAATCAATCTTCTCTCAAGATTGCTGCTTTTATCGCCGAGCCAGTCATGGGAGCCGGGGGAGTGATTCCTCCACCTGCAACCTACTTTGAAAAGGTGAGTTTTTTTTATGAACATGATACCTAGCTACCTACCTTGGAGGCTTTACTCTGTCCTGTTTCCTTTTATCGATAAGAGGTTTTCTCTGTTCTTCAGGTCCAAGCTGTCCTTAAGAAATATGATATCCTGTTCATCGCTGACGAGGTGAATTATCATTCATGTCAAATATATTTACGCTCAGCTCTGCACAGATCGATCCTTATTCAGGTAATTTTATCTTTTTTACTCACTTTTTCAGGTGATATGTGCATTCGGAAGGCTTGGGACAATGTACGGATGTGACAAATACAACATCAAGCCGGATCTCGTGTCTTTGGCTAAGGTGAAATTTACGTCCCCAAGCATTAAGCTCGTTCATTCCATTTGACATAATTCCATCGAGATATTTTAATGTAATTTTTCATTTGATACGCAGGCCCTCTCTTCTGCATATATGCCCATTGGAGCCATTCTTATGAGCCCAGAGGTAGCAGATGTCATTTATTCCCAAAGCAACAAGCTAGGTACTTTAAAAACAATATCCAGACAAGGGAAAGTGACCAGAGCTGTGTGATCTGAAGATGTTTCTGCTAACACTTCTCCTGTCAGGTTCTTTTTCGCATGGGTTTACTTATTCTGGCCATCCTGTCGCCTGTGCTGTTGCCATTGAGACGCTAAAGATTTACAAGTATGTGTCTTCACTCTTTATCCGTCTCTAAGAAAATGGATTTAAGTTGTGTTTTGCCAAAAATTTTGAAAACTGTCTGTGCTGAAGCTTAAGTGTGTCAGTTCAGTAGCATTTGCCCCTAGGAAGAATGTTTCTGAGCACTGTTGTAATTGCATGGCAGATCAAGAATTTGGGTCCATGTTTTGTAAAAACTGACAAGACCGCACCAGTTTGTTCGAGATTTGGGTTTTCGATGCATCCTTGACAGTTCTTCTTTTGCAGGGAGAGAAATATTGCCGAGTATGTAAATAGCGTTGCCCCGAGATTTCAAGATGGTCTGAAAGCTTTCTCTAGCAGTCCTGTTATTGGAGAGGTATCAAATATCTGAAGTTTGCTAAATTTTCTTCTTCTAGCGGTTGGAAGCATTCGCGGGTTTAATAATGTAATGTTTATGCAGATAAGAGGAACGGGTTTGATCCTTGGGACCGAGTTTGTAGACAACAAATCTCCCAACGAGCCGTTTCCACCGGAGTGGGGTAAGTCTCTGGCTCTTCTTCGTTGGAAAAAAACCCATTTCCCATAACCTCATTCCCCATGTGATCGGTCATGTTTTGATCGGTCTTTGCAGGTGTTGGTGCGTATTTCGGGGCCGAGTGCCAAAAACACGGGATGCTAGTTCGGGTGGCAGGTGATAACATAATGATGTCCCCGCCTCTAATAATCACCCCTGAAGAGATCGAAGAGGTGAAAACTCTTTAAGATTCCTCCTCCTGCCTCTCTTGTGACCATTTCGCCTCGTGATTTGCCTGAGACCGTTCATTTTAATCCGTTGCTGCAGTTGATTGGTGTCTACGGGAAAGCGTTGAAGGCGACGGAGGAGAGAGTGAAGGAACTCAAGTCTCGGAGCAATTAGTGTGTAAGCAACCGATGATGATGATGATGATAACCAAAGCATGCCATTGATGCTGCTTATGTTCATGGTGTTACCAAACTATGTTCAATAAAGAAAGAAAAAGCTTGAAGCTTTATAATATCTCGTATAATTTAATATTTTTTGGTTAAAAGTATAATTTAATATTTTCGTGAGAAGAAAGTAAAAATTTGGATTCTACAAATAATAAATAATAGCAAAAATCCTATGTTATTAACATTACAATAGAGAAAAATAACTATATCTAGGGTGTAAAATGGGCGGGTCGGGCCGGGTTCGGGTTGGGTTCAATTCGGGCCTAGAATTTTTCGGGCCGGGTCGGTCCGCCCATTTATTTTTCGGGTCTAGGATTGATGGCCCGGAGCCCGGCCCTACAGGCTTCGGGCGGGTTCGGGCCGGACTTCGGGCTTTTTCTTAAATAAAAATATTTTTTTTTACGATAATAATAATAATAATAATAATAATAATAATAATAATAATAATAATAATAATAATAATAATAATAATAATAATAATAATAATAATAATAATAATAATAATAATAATAATAATAATAATAATAATAAT